TTCACCAGTAATGCATCTCTGTCACTGGTTAAACTCATCAACAATAAATATTGAGTATAATATTAACAAACCCTACCCTGGCTGTGTCACTGATCCATTTTTAAGTAGAGCATTTAGCCCCTCCTGTATTTTATATACTTTGATAAATATCTGTTCTTGATTAGTTGAATGGATTTCCATTGTTGATATAGTATACAACTGCATTTTCAGACACACAGACACACACACACACACACATATATATGCAAATGCTTTCTCGCATACAGATGAGGCCTCTGTCTTTTCTCTCTCTCCCCTCTTCTCTCTTTCTCTCTCTTTCTCTCTTTCTCTCTCTTTCTCTCTCTTTCTCTCTCTCTTTCCCTCTCTCTTTCTCTCTCTCTTTTCTTCTCTCTCTTTCTCTCTCTCTCTCTCTCTCTCTCTTCTCTCTCTTCTCTCTCTCTCTCTCTCTCTCTCTCTCTCTCTCTCTCTCTCTCTCTCTCTCTCTCTCTCTCTCTCTCTCACACTCACTCTTAACACACCCATGACACACTCTTACACACCCATGCACACACTCTTACACACCCATGCACACACTCTTACACACCCATGCACACACTCTTACACACCATGCACACACTCTTACACACCCATGCACACACTCTTACACACCCATGCACACACTCTTACACACACTCTTATACTAACAACACACACACCACACACACACACACACACACACACACAACACACACACAACACACACACACCACCACACACAACACACACACACACACACCACACACACACACCACACACAAGGGGGGAAATCCTGTTCAATAATCCATTTTCAGTGTAAGATATGCACTATGACGACAATCTCTTCAATATTTTTAACATTTTGTATATCTGACACAGAAGAGAAATAGGGTATTGTCATCCATAATGTGCAGCATTTATTTGAGATGCTGCCAAGGGTTACAGTGGTTCAGCAACAGGTATGTATGTATAAAAATGAGGGGCCTTTGAGGCTGCATACTTGTTTCAGATCATGTTATAGTTGTCATTGTAAATGAAATGAAGGTGCAAAGTTTGAAATAAGATTCAGCTATTACATGTATATCCCAAATTAATAGATACAGAAGCAGTTTATATAGCATTTCGGATAAAGTGGTATATTTTATTACATTCATCATGTAGAACAGGGATGTCAGACTGATGCTCATGGGCCAAATGTGGCCCTCAGGATGGTCACAAGTAACAAGAATTATTAGTCGGTGAACTTATGATCATCATTAGATAAAAGAATATCTTATGCATTTTGTTACCATTAGTGTCACAGTTTAAATTCATTAGAAGAAATAAACTTCATATATACTGGCACACAATATCTGGCTGTTCCTAGTAATGGAATCAATTCCTAGAGAGCCAGGTATATGCCTATGTTGGTTCTCGAGATAAAAATTGAATTGAAAAGAAAATGGGCTTGCAAAGGGTTTTGGGTTTGACACTCCTGAACCAGAAGGTTTCATTAGATATTGTACAGATTGTTATTATGCTGTTGCTTAAATAGCCTATCTATTTATTTTCATTAAGATAATTATATTATGGAGTCTGTCACAGTAAATAATGACTTTATCTTATCGAAATACATTCTTTTCACTCACAGCAGCCGAACACCTTCAAAAACCCAGTGTACGACAGCCTGTACAGCGAGGGAGCCTCAACCTCGATCAACCACGAGGAGAAGACTGGCTTGCTACAGTCAGACCCCTTAGGGGCCCTCGACACAAGCCGGCCCACTGGGTCAAAGTCTTAGCTCCCATCAGCCCTACGGATCAGCGTTTCCAACATAAAAAGAATTCTGCAACTTATATTGACATTTAGTGAAATGACAGTTTTTTCTGCTTTATGTTAGATAATTACTGTGTGTTTGGATAACCACAATAATTTCAAATAATGAGAATGAAAGTGAAAGTCAGAAAATAAGGTTAAAGAGTTTTATATACAGTGGTAGTGAAGTGATAATATATACATAGCAAATGTGTATATATAGTGTACATTTACACTGTACCAGTAAATTACTGCCAACACTTAGAAGTACTGATAGGTGCCATCTATGTATAAAAATTTTTACACTCTTTGCAAACAGTCGAACGATTGATTGTAGTACTAGTAACTGTTACCTGTTATTCTGGTCTCAAAATTGTATGTTTATAGGCTATTATTTAGTAAGCAATACTTTCTAAGATGTCTAATCCACAGATGTTGAAAGGACTTTTCTAGGACAATACTTTGGAGTCTACTTGAGGATATCCTTGATATCTTTTTGCGTAATGCTCTGTAGCTAATATTGAAAGACGATTCATAATATGGGAAAGATTTTAGATCTGTTTTTAAGTGAGATTAAAACCAAGCATGTTTTTAAAATATGGTTACCATTATTGTCCTTTCAATTTTATATCTAAATGAAACATTTTAATCTTCAATTATATTTTGTTTCTGTTCTTTGCTACTTTAGGTAGAAATGTTACAATTGAAATTATATTCAGAGTTTGAACAGATTAGGATGGTAAATAGAATTGTGTTTGGATTTTTTGATATGATATATGATTTTTAATAATTGAATAAAAGCAGGTTAGACAATAGACTTGATAGATGCAGCAGACCACCAGTATGTTTTAGTGCTGATGTGGTTTACTTTTTTAAATTTCTAAATCTTTTTTTCTTCTGCATATTGGAGTGATCCTATTGTGCAAGTCACCTTTTGTACTATTGTAGTTACTAGAAATGTCGGTTTCCCTGTTTTTGAGGATAAAATGTCGGAACACAAATTATAAAATACAATTTTGAAAAATACTCGGAAAGTATCAGCATGATCATACTGAGAGGTTATAAGACAGATATTTCCTCTCTTCTTGTCAAAGTAGTCAAGGCCGCGTGTCATGGAATAGCATAATAGTAATGGGTTAGGATAGGGGTGGGTAAGATTTGATATTAATGCACCAGGATTATTATACTTGTTCACACTGTTTGCTCCTACAAATATTGATACTAGTGCCATATGTTAGGCTTCAGGCTTAAATATTGATGCTGTGCTGGAGACTTGTTTTCCTTCTTTTTTGTGTGAAAAGCTGAGGGTAATTATGCAGCTGGAAGGATTACAGTATTTTCTTCTTCTTCTTCTTCTTCTTCTTTTTTTTTTTTTTTTTCTGTTTTTTTGTGGCAGTATTCTGTTAATTTCTTTGCAGTCAGGAAAAAAAATATTTGGACTCTAAGATAACTTTTTGTGTGTTTCTCAGATAATTAAACAAACACAGAGCTTGGGTGAGATCAGCTCTTTCACCGCAAAGGTGCAATAACACAAATGTCACTTTCGAGATTTAAATGATCCCTTTAGCTGTATTTTACCAAGCTCTCCTCTAGCCATATTACCAAATGTGATAACTTGGAATCAAGTCACAAATCATATGAAAGGAAAGCATCCTATGTAGCATGCTTAGGTTTTATAAACCCATGTGTGTATTGTATGTGTGTGTTACAATTATGTGGGTCAAATATGTTGGTCATCAGATACTATTAGAACATGTCCTTTTTTCTGAGGCCTTACCGTAGAGTTTTTATTTTGTCATTAGAGCAAGCTTGCGTTTGTGCATTCATAGGTGCGTGTGTGCAGGTGTATGTGTTAGTGTTTGCATGTAGTGAGAGACTGACATAGGCAGACAGAGACAGACATATTTTCATAAGGCAGTATGAAAGATATGCTAAAGAATCAAAGCATTGTTTGTCAAGCCTTGTGGTGAAGTAGACCAGCACCAACATTATTATTCAAGGGATAAAGAGTCTGTTGCCATAATATCTGTAGGTGGTTGGAAAGTAAAAATGAAATTCACATCGCTGTAATAAGTGATCAGGTTAAATTAATAATCATTACAGAATGTATGGAGTAATGACAAATTTGATTGTAAGCATTTTAATGAGTATCTATTGATACAGCCCATTTTTAAGTTTGTATATATATTGAGTGGGTAATTATACTAGGGAAAAGTACAGTATTTGTAAGGAAAGTGAAGTAATAAAGGTAATGATTTTTATTTTTTTTCCAAATAAAATCTGGCAGATGTAGCATTAGTACATGCAATGTAAGAAAGTGACTGAACTTTATGACTGCCTTGTGAAATAGTGTAAATCTAATTCTGGTCAGTATTTAAGGAGTTAAAAGGTCTGAGGTGAAATAATATTATGAGATAGGGCCTGATGATATGAAACCAATTAGGTAGTGGTCCTGTGCTTCTCTCTAGCGAACTTGCACAGATAGGAGAATTGCTGAAGTGAACATCGCAAGTTGAACAGTAAAATGTGTTCTTGGATTAGTCTAGAAATGTTTAGCAGAGTGTTTATTTGTATAATTTGATGTTTGCCGTTGGTTAAGTAAAAGGAGAATGGTAAGTGATAAACGTAAGAATAGGTTGAGTTCACATGACAAACAATGGTAATCATTATTCCTCAAGTGCCGATATTCAAAGATATCTGGTTATTTTTACTAGATGAATATTATTTGTACAGTTAGATTAAAACACAAATGTGTCTCCTATTTTATGGGCATTAAAAATCTTTTTTTGATTTTTATTAAAATTATGGTTGATTTTATTGACATTTTGTGTGTAACAACTATATGTTTATTCTGGTATAAATAGGCTGATACTGTAATATAGGCCTTTCAGCCATAAGAGTTCAAACTTTGTATTGATAAGTTGAATTCATGGTTATAATTTGCTGTGGCATTACAGTATATCTAAATGTAATATTGAATTATCTTGAAAATATTAGCAGGTGTTAAAAGAAAATATTCTACCTTTACAAGATCAATTTTTATATTAGTGATGCCTGCATATTTTTGTACATAAGACAATAACATGGCGAATTTATAAACTAGTTTTTCTTTTTACTGCAAACCTTAAAAAATGGGGAGTATCCAGTACATTGAGAAATGATAATGGAGTTTGAGGAAGTTTGAACTTCAT